GACGGCGCGCGACCCCGCTTCCATGGCAACCGCGCCGCCTGACCCGCCGAGCCCCGGATGTGGCCTGCGCCTCGCGAGCCCGGGGCGACCATGCGCCTGCGCGGAGGCCGTGGACGCTTCGGGACCGACCGGCTGCGCTCCCGAAGTTGTCCAGGTGGAGCGCGAGGCTGAACGGAAAAAAAGGGCAAACACTGTGAAAAGGGCTCCCCTTAACAGTTTGTAAAGTGCATCTACCGCCCTTATCTCATATAAGCTTCTCAATAAGTCTGTGAGCTGTCACCATATGGGATTAATAAACAGCAGGCAAAATAAATATTTATTAGTTGATGCTGGAAGAGAGAAATGGTTGTCCGACAGCATAGGCAATTATTTCTGAACGCCTGCCATTTAGAAAATTATCTTCCTTAATCTTGTATCTTAGGCTCCTGGNTATTATTAGCAAGTATGATTTGCTCTCACCGCACAGGCCTCCAAGACGATCTGTTTTGTCTAAAACAGCTGCATTGTCACCTCTGGACAATAAGAACATTCTACGTCTAGAGTGGAAGCTTTCTGAGGACAGAGGCTTTGTTTTGTTCACGGCTGCATCTTCATTGCCTGGAACAGTGTCTGCACATAACAGGCGCTCAATAAATAAGTATTTGACGTCCAGAGAGTCCTGTAACTTCTCTGTGCCTCTGTCTCCTCAAATGTAAAAGTGGATCTCGTAACTGAGAGTTGGGGGAAAAAAAGTAAAGTGGAGAAAAGAGTTGTTGTGAAGCTCGAATGAGTCAATATCTGTAAAGTGCGAAACCTGTTCCAGAGTGAGTGCAGTGTGACAATTTGGAATTATTGTGTGATGAATGCATGGAGGGGTCTTCACATCAAAGGAATGTGGTGTAGTGGAAAGAATGACTGGCAGGTCATTAGTGTTATAGTTTTGACTACCNAGGAATGTGGTGTAGTGGAAAGAATGACTGGCAGGTCATTAGTGTTATAGTTTTGACTACCACCACCTACTATGAGTCCATGGCCCTTTTTTTTCTGTTTCCTCCGTGCAACAAAGGTGATGAGCTGCCCTGTGGTTTCAAGGCTGTCTTCCTAGGAGCAGGGAAGACTGAGCTGGTTAGTGGTTAAGAGCTCAGGCTTTGTAGTCTCATTGTTGTCTCTTGTCTGCAAAATGGAGATAGTTTAGGGCTTTTTGGGGCATCAAAGGAGAAAACAGAAATAAAATTCAGCACAGTGCCTGACACATAGTAAGTGCCTCAAACAATGGAAGCTAGCAGGCAACACTTTGCAGCTAGTTTGATTACTTGAATGGCATTTAAAATAATAAAATTGTATTTGTTGTGAAACTGTCCATCTCACTCACTGGTGCTCCTCTTCTGCTGGGCAAGTCCTATTTGCTGAGTGGTGCCAGATAGAGGTTGCACCCCAAATTCTGGTTCCCTATTTGGATCGTTACTGATGCATCCGAGGAGGAAAGAAACCCTACACTCAGGGTTGCCTCCAGAGTTGTATGTATACAAAAGACAAATCTTATTAGGCCACTCACCTGCTTAAAAACTTCCATTTGCTTCCAGAGTATCGTCCATATGATATACCAGGGCTTTTACTATCTCTGCTACCCTAAGTGCACCTTGGGGCTTCGCAAACTCCCTCCCTTCTCTTATTTAATTATAAAGATAGTGCATATCTACAACCTTTAATCTGTGATTCTGAATTCCAAAAACTTCTGAAAACCTTTCATCTGATGGCGAACTGGTCCTAACCTCAACTCTTTTGGAGGCAAACTCTGAGCTGAGGCAATTCATAGTGTTTATTCCACCTGGAGTTTATGTTAATGATTTTCACTGCAGAATTATCAATGTATTTGATTATGGGGAGCTGCATCAGGCCCAGCTGGGATTGTAATCTCATACTCATTGTTTATGTACTGTATTAGTCTGTTTCTGTTGCTTATAACAAAATACCTGGAACTGGATGATTTATAAGAAAATTAAATTTATTGCTTACAGTTTCAGAGGCTGGGAAGTCTAAAGTCCAGGGAACATATCTGGTG